CGACATGAGCGACGCGGAGCGGTTGGATCGCTACGTGGCGGGCCTGAAATACGAGATACAGTACGAGGTCCGACGAACCCGGCCACGCAGCTTCAACGACGCCGTCCGGGAAGCCGAGTCAACGGATGCGCTGATGCAGTGGGCGAGATCGAGCTCCCGGGAGGGCCTTCGATTTCGTGGACCGACTCAGCAGCCCACGATCAACGGCGTGGATGCACCTAGCCGAGCCCTTGGGCCGTGCTTTTTATGCAACCAGCTGGGCCACCTGAAAAAAGACTGCCCGAGGCTTAAGCAGGGGAAGAAGAACGACGGAGAAGGGTCGGGAAAAGATACGAGTCAGTAGCAGACGGGCCACCTACTGACGAGACTCTGTCGCCCGACAATCACCATCCACACCGGATCGTGGTACCGATCAGCGCTATCGACCAAAACCGGACGAATAACGTGCGTGAACACGTGGACTACCCTGTGCTGGTGGTAGGGAGGGTTAACGGTTATAAAATTAAAATCTTCGTTGACGGTGGGGCGAGCCACAGTCTCGTCAACCTGGCAACGGCCAAAAAAATGGGGGTGAAGCTGACCAGGTGTCTGCCAGAGATCGATGCAAGGTTGGTGGACGGGACACCGCTGGCCATCCGAGATGAGGCGCGAAAAATTCGGATACAGTGCGGCGACAAATTCGGGTTTGGCATGAGGATGTTGGCGACGACGTTGGACGGCTGCGATGTGTTGCTGGGGAGGGATTGGCTGCAGCGCTTCAATCCGACGATCGACTGGACGACTGGGGCATGCGTCGTGCGAGGATACGGAGGGAAGACGACGCTTCCGAAATGGACGGAGCCGGAGCCGGTGACGACACGTGTCAACGCGGTCAACATGCAGCGTGCGATGAACAGCGGAGCTCAGGCCTTCTTAGTGCACCTGTACGAAGTGGCAGCTTCCGAGAAAATTGCGGACATCGACACCCTCTGCGCGGCAGTCCCCGAGGAATTGGCGAGCATTATTCGGAAGTATCCCGAAATTTTCGCGGATGACCTCCCGGATGGTTTGCCCCCCCAACGACCTGAGGATCATCGGATCCAGCTGGAGCCCGGCGCGCAACCTACTGTGCGGACACAGTGGCGGCTCAGTCAACCAGAACTCGCCGAGTTGCGGGCCCAGCTGGATTACCTGCTCGCCAAGGGATTTATCGGGCCCAGCACGTCGCCGTATGCAGCACCGATACTATTCACGCCGAAGAAGGACGGTGGCCTACGCATGTGCATTGATTATCGGGCGCTGAATCGGGTCACGATAAAGTCGCGTTACCCGATCCCGCGAACCGACGATCTGCTGGATCAACTTCGCAGAGCTCGGTATTTTTCGAAAATCGACCTGCGGGGAGGCTACCACCAAATTCGCGTATTCGCCGACGACTGCCCGAAGACCGCTTTTCGCACACGCTACGGCAGTTACGAGTTCACAGTGATGCCGTTCGGCCTGACAAACGCGCCCTCGACGTTCCAGCTCACCATGAATGGAATTTTTCGGGACATGCTGGACAAGAAGGTCATCGTGTACCTGGACGATATCCTGGTGTACAGCGCGACACAAGAGGACTATCTGCGGGATTTAGAGGAGGTGTTCCGGCGTTTACAGGGGCATCGGCTAATTACAAAGGGGTCTAAGTGTGAGTTCCTGAAGCCGGAATTAGAGTTTTTGGGGCATGTGGTTTCTGGCGAAGGGATTAAAATCGACCCGCGTAAGGTGGACGCCATCGTTAAGTGGAAGCCGCCTACTAATATCCCTGAGTTGCAAAGTTTTCTGGGGTTTGTTAACTACGTTCGTCGTTTTGTACCCAATATGGCAGGGATAACCAAGCCGCTGACCGACCTGCTGCACCACGACAGTGATTTCAGGTGGGGGGAGAGGGAGCAATCCGCCTTCGACGCCCTCAAAAACATTTTGGGTTCACCCCCGGTACTCCGCCTCGCCGATCCATCTCGACCGTTCGAAGTTGTCACGGACGCCAGCGATTTCGCCGTCGGCGCCGTCCTGCTACAGGACTTCGGCCAAGGGCTGCAACCCATCGCCTACGAGTCACGCAAGATGCAGCCACCTGAGCGCAACTACCCAGTCCACGACAAAGAAATGCTGGCCATCGTCCATGCATTTCGCGTCTGGCGCTGCTACCTCACAGGAGCCGACGTGACGATTCGGACCGACCATAAATCGCTACAGTACATGCGCACGCAACCGACACTCAACCCGCGACAAATCCGGTGGTTGGACTTCCTCGAATCCAATTTCTGGTACACCATCACGTACAAAAAGGGCGCCAACAACATCGCCGACGCCCTTACCCGACCATCCATGCAAAACGCGGCGGTACTAATCGCCCACACCAACCCGATGCGAACAGGACTATTCACCCACGGCTACAAGATCGACAGGTTTTTTCGGAACCCGCAACAACAGGCTGCTACACCGCACGGCAAATACTACCTAAAAACCGGTACGAACCGGATTTGGGTACCAGCATACCAGCCTTTACGGGAGCTGCTGACGCAGGAGGTTCACGACTCCAACCTCTCCGGGCATTTCGGCACCGACAAGACACTGAAGCTGCTGTAGCGGAATTATTACTGGCCGGACATGCAGACCGATGTGCAGCGCTACGTGTCAACTTGCCCGACCTGCCAAGCAATGAAGTCGTCGCGACAAAGGCCAGCCGGACTGCTGCAACCCCTCGCGCCACCCGAACGACCGTGGCAACAGGTGACGATGGATTTCGCCATGGGGCTCCCAGCTGGCACGAGTGGCAACGACTCGGTGTTGGTCATCGTCGATCGCCTAACGAAGATGGCGCATTTCGCCCCATGCCGAACGACGATCACAGCCGAAGATACAGCCAAACTGTTCATCTCCACCGTCGTACGCCTACACGGGTTACCTTCGGCGATCATCAGCGATCGTGATCCGAAATTTACGTCGAAGTTCTGGCAGGAAACGTGGGCACAGTACGGTACCCGCCTGCAGTTTTCGTCGTCATACCACCCGCAAACCGACGGACAGACGGAACGGACAAATCAGACCATGGAACAGCTGATTCGCACCAACTGCCCCAACATTCGCAAGTGGGAAGATTCGCTGCCGATGCTGGAATTCGCATACAACAACGCCCCGTCGGCCACGACTAAACAATCACCCTTCTTCCTGAATTACGGGATAGACCCCGTGGTACCCTCTTCAACGACTGTGGACAACCCGGTACCAAGATCGCAGCAGTTTGTCACGGAACTGCAAACCGCCCGAACGAAAGCAGCCGATTTCATTCGCAAGGCTAATACCACGGCCAGTCGCCAGGCGGATAAACACCGACGAAATTTACCCTTCCGCACAGGGCAGGTTGTACTTCTGGACACCAAGAACCTTCGGCTGCCGCAGCCCGCGAAATTACGGCCCCGATACGTGGGACCATTCCGTGTCATCCAGATGGTGACACCTGTCACCGCGAAGCTGCTGCTGCCCGACGATTGGAAAATCCATGACGCCTTCCACGTCAGCCTGTTGCGTCATTACGAACAGCCGCAGTCGCCAGCTGTTGCTCGACCAACCATCGCGCCGACCACTCGCCCCGTGGCAGAGCCAACGCTGAAACCTTGGAAGATTCTTAACCATCGCGTGGATGTGACTGCCGCCGGCCGCTCGGTGAAATTCCTGCTTCGCTGGAAAGACCGCACGAGCGAGGACGACACGTATGTCGCTGCTGATTCGCTACTGGGACACCCGGTTTTGGACGCTTACCTGGCCCGCCGAGGTGTTTCGGATATTGTGTAAGGAATTTTCCGGATTCCTTACTGGGTCACACTGTACGCGTACAACCCCGACTTTCGGAAAACCAGGCTCGGCCCGCCGACCTCGCCTTCCGAGCCACCACCGCATCGCTTTCGGGTTTTCCAACCCCGAACCTGCACCCAACCATCTCGCGACCCCGCGACCTCGGCCTAGCTAGCCTTGCTATATTGTGCCTAGGCCTCGTTGTTCATTCAGACGTTGTAATCACTTCCGCATTATTGAGTTCTGCGCACTCTTTCCTTTCACAACTTATAACAGTATACCAGTAAGTGTAAATGGCTGTAACGCTTCGCGATGGAGTGTTGATTTCGCTGTGATCCTATACTAACCGCTTCGTTTCTGAAATTTAGGGATGTTATTACTGCATCTGCTAGTATAGTTTGCGACGGACTACTAGACATTAATCCACCACATATATGGTTCTGTTGGCCCACCCCCAAATTGATTACAGCTCAGGCCCCAGCGCACATTGCGCTGGGCCATGTCATCACAGCGTGTGCACAAATCCCCCTTGACGAGCAAGCTTGCTTTCCACGACTCCTCCACGTTCCCGAGAATCCAGCATCACAGACTTCTCCAGCGGGCCATGGCGGCTCGTGAAATCTCTCGCAGCGCTTACGTGGCAGCTTTACAAATTCTCACCACCAAATGTCCACCAACCAGTCTCCCACTGATGCAGACACGAGTGACCTCACACCGCGACGCGACGACAGGTTGTCCCTTCCGTCCATATGGAGACATCTTTCGCAAATCTCTTCACTCGTTCCACTCGCCTCGCATCAATCCGTTTCGTACATCTTTCGCTGGTTTCCGTTTCATTCAAGACACTCGACATTGACTCTTGGGAAGGCCGCCAGCTTCCCCCCTGCTTCTGTTCAATCTCCTCCGCATCGCCTTCTCTGGAGTCGCCAACGGAACCTTCATCTCAGCGTTGCTCATCACGGCAGCAATCCTTCCAGAGAGTCACAGCACCACAAATCAACAGCAATCCAACGAACGCACAACTTTCATCCGCCGCCGAGTCCTGCACGCCATCCCGCACGCCATCCCGCAAACGGAATCCAGCAGTTATCCATCACCGCATAATCCAAAAGCGGACGATCGACAACAACCAGCGTCGCCTACGTCTTCGAAGTTTCGAGTGGAAGAGAGCATCTGTCACCATGCCGCCTGTGGTTCAGTGCCAGTCGCAGCCTCAAGCCATCCCATTCACATGCCCCGTCATCCCCGCGCCCAAGGCGCCGGCGCCCGCGGTCGCAGCAGCGCCAACGAGTAAGTGCTATGCAGAATTCCAATGCGTTGATTGAGAAGGCTCTTGCCATTAGTACCTAGTACCTATGGTCGCGCCGCGTGCGCATCGTACCATTTGTTTTCGTGGAACTTTGCATCTTGTAGTTAACATGACTTGACTCGCGACGTGCTTGACTCGTTTCGTGCATAAATGTGTCCATTACGACGATGCTGCAGAGCCCGCCGAGGCAGCCGCGGTCCCCGAGCCTAACTTTTTGGAGTCGGTGGATCTGTACTTCGACCAGGCGGCGGCCATCTCGCACGTGTCGCCGGATATTCTGGCGCAGATCAAGGCGTGCAACACCATCATCCGCGTGCAGTTTCCGCTCAAGCTGCCCGACGGCCGCGTCGAGCTCGTCGAGGGGTACCGCGCGCAGCACTCGCACCACCGCCTGCCCGTCAAGGGCGGAATCCGCATGTCGCTGACAGTGGACGCGGAAGAAACCATGGCGCTCGCGGCGCTCATGACCTTCAAATGCGCGCTGCTTGACGTGCCGTTCGGCGGCGCCAAGGGCGGCATCAAGATCGGTAGGTGGTGATGATCCGTGATCAGCTAAAGCTGATATGTCGTACGTTTTTTCACTGAAAGCAGTTTTTGTGCCATGTGGCTGACTATCGATTTTCCTTTTTGTGGCGGTGCGCTCTGCGGTGTATCCCTTGATGTGCCTCTCGTCTCCCATCAGACCCGCGCAAGATCTCACCAGAGGCGAAGGAGGCCGTTATCCGACGGTACACGTCGGAGCTGGTGAAGAAGAACTTCATCGGCCCGTCCATTGTAAGCCGCTCCCCCGCTCCGAACTTGAATCGCTTGTCTTATCTCGCTCGGCTTGTCTCGCTCGTCTTGTCTCACTCGTCTTGCTGTGAAATGCCCATTTATGTCGTCCTCGTGACTCTACAATCCTACTCGTGCCTGCTGTCTCCGTGACCCCTCATTCAATTATTCCCTTCTCCCATGTCCCCTCTCGATGCGCCATCAGGACGTGCCCGCGCCCGACTACGGCACTGGCCCGCAGGAGATGGCGTGGATCAAGGTGAGCCGCACTGCTCGCTGCACTCGTTTCTTCCCAATCTGACCAACCGACCGACCAACCGCCGCCGATGCCATGATCCATCTTACATCGCCCAACGCACTCGCTTCCACCACGTCTCAACCACCCTCCCTCCCGTGCTCACCGGATTCACTCCCTCCCCCACTCATCCTCCCACGGCCTCTGTCTTCCAGGACACGTACCAAATGCTCAAGCCCGGCGACCTCAACTCCTTCGCGTGTGTCACCGGCAAGCCGCTGGAAGAGGTGAGGCACCACCCTTCGAGGTGTAAGCGCGCGATGTTTCCATCATCACTCACTCACTGAACGCAGTCATACATGCACACCTCAGCTGTGGATCACTCACCCGTGCCTAATCATCTACGGTTGCTTGCTTCCTGTGTGCACGCCTGTGCCTGCAGGGGGGCATCCGGGGCCGCACGGCGGCGACGGGGCAGGGCGTTTTTGTGTGTCTGCGGGAGTTCTTCAAGAGCGGCAAGTGGATGGGGCGGCTGGGCATGAGCGAGGGCATCAGCGGCAAGTCGTTTGTGCTGCAGGGCTTTGGCAACGTGGGGCGCCACACCATCGACGCCATAGTGGCCGCGGGCGGCCGCATCGTGGGGCTGGCGGAGTGGAACGGCGGGCTGCTGGCGGCGCCGGGCGAGGCGCTCGACATGGACGCGGTGAAGGCGCACGCCGCGCGCACGGGGGGGTCCATTCTGGGCTGCGTGGGCGCCACCACTGTGAGCGACTCGGCGAGCATCCTGGAGGCGGCGTGCGACGTGCTGATCCCCGCGGCGCTGGAGGGGCAGATCACGGCGCGCAACGCTCCGCGCATCCGCGCCAAGGTGGTGGCGGAGGCGGCCAACGGGCCGGTGACGGCGGCGGGGGAGGCGGTGCTGCAGGCGCGCGGCATCGTGGTGCTCCCGGACCTGCTGCTGAACGCGGGCGGCGTGACGGTGTCGTACTTCGAGTGGCTCAAGAACCTCAACCACATCCACTTCGGGCGCATGAGCCGCCGCATGGAGGAGCGCGGCAAGCAGCAGCTCGTGGACGCCCTGGAGCAGGAAATGGCAGGTGGCGCGCGCTTCAGCGACAGCACGCGGCAGTCCATCGTGCGCGGCAACACCGAGGAGGACTTCGTGTGGTCGGGGCTGGAGGAGCACATGATCGAGGGCTGGGAGAACGTGGACGACATGGCCGAGAGCAGGGTGAGCCGTTCTGCTCTACTTCCACTCCATGCTGCTATGCTGATCCCTGGCTGTACGTCCACAGTGGTGCTGAAGTTACATGCAGGAGCATTTTGCATGCGCATGGGCTTCTCATGTCAAACTACCTTTTCCACGTCTTGCCTTTCTATCTCTCCTGTCCCTCCCTCCTCTCCCACCACCAGGGCTGCTCCTTCCGCACGGCAGCATACCTCATAGCCATTGAGCGCATCGCCCGCTCCTACCACGTCAGCGGCATCTTCCCCTAGACACGCTACACGGCTTGGAGCCTGCAACGGCTGATCTCGCCCCTCCTTTAGTCCTCCCCTCACATTTCTTCCTGCCTCCACCTTCAGTGCTCAAAGCTTCCCCATTTCTGTCAAATTGCTTCGATCGAGGCCCTGTTTCCTGCTACCACCGTGCACAACTGTGCACCATTGTCTACCACTGTACATCTCTCTGTACAGCATCCAATTTTGTCAGCTGTGGGTGTGCTGCTGAGCTATGCACTGCACGGCTCTGTCCCCTCCCACTGTTCAATTTTGCCCTGAGTTTATGTTTCTTATGTGCTTTGGATGAGGTTGTGTGTAGCTAGCTGTGTGCTTGCAGCTTCTGCCATATCCTCTTGCCACTGCATGCAATTTTGTGGATGTGTACAGCTCTTTATTGCTCTTCTCATTGTTATTGCTTTGCTTGGTGAATTTACATTGTTTCAAATTGAATGTTTTGGGTTAAATATCAGATCCACTGCTCCATAACCTTGGTAAGTTGTGCAAGACTTCCAATTTGGAGATACGGTACTACGGCTAGCTTCACAAAAAGCAGCATATGACAATAATCAGAGCTGGTAGGAGGTGATGAAATCGTGTCAGTCACAGGGGTACCGGTATATGTTCATGTTTTGAAAGACTCGGGTTTCACAGGTTTGCGTGATACATTGATAATGAATACCACCGGTACCAGCTGAAGAATGTCACAATCCGCTACAGAGAAACAACACAGCCGCACAACTCGTTTCAGCATGGCAATTTACAGACTGGCTCTTCTGGGGAGTCCTTACCCACCCATCAATACAATAACAGCATGGAGAAGTTTGAAGGATTGCTTTCTGTTGTGCTGTGCTGCGGTGTGCCATACGCAGTGTCATTCTCAAGTACCTTCCCGCTGCCCGCACCACACCCAGTTTCCGAGCCACACCCCCTTCCTGCAGGTTCAGGTGCAGCACCACTGTCTCGCGCACTCCCCCTCCCCTGGAGCCGAGTACACGCCTCCCCTTGCCTAGAGCCGAGTGCAGTCGTCCGGAGCGAGCCGCGTGAGCCAGTTGCTGAGCGTGCTCTTGGCGCTGAGCGTATCAGACGCCGCCAGATTGTACATGGAGCACAGGTTGAGCACCACTGTCTCTTCGACAGCTGTCAGCGGGCTCGCCTGCAATTGGTCCTCCAGCACCCGAACCGCCGTCGCGAGATCTCGGCCGTACATCAGGCAGAGGGCCTGATCGGGAACAGAAGGCAAGGGGATGAAATGGTAGGTGGAACCATGTGAAGGGTAACTTTATGACGACACCACACCAATGTAACTCGGTTACAACACCAAATGTAACCTGTGAGACGCCTTCTGCGCTGCCTGACTCAACTGGCTATCTCACCATGTAACCCAGTTACCACATTGCCTCACTTGGCCTCACCCTGTTGTTGGCAGGTATGGCGTTGGTAGGTAGGGTCCTCGTTGGTGCCAGCAGAAGAGAGCCTGCCCATGCTCATTGCCTTCAGCATTGGCTGACTCACCAGGCTATCCCACCAAGTAACCTGGTTATCACACGACTCACCTTGCTATTCGGAGCAATGGAGTTCGTACGATCCTCTTTGGTAACAGCACCCAGCACAGCACACAGCACATAGCACACAGCACACAGCACATAGCACACAGCACACAGCACATAACACACAGCACGTAGCACACAGCACATAGCACATAGCACACAGCACACAGCACACAGCACATAGCACACAGCACATAGCACACAGCACATAGCACACAGCACATAGCACACAGCACATAGCACACAGCACATAGCACACAGCACATAGCACACAGCACATAGCACATAGCACACAGCACATAGCACATAGCACACAGCACATAGCACATAGCACACAGCACATAGCACAAAGCTGACTGCACAGCATGATGCAGAGACATCTCAACTGAAGTGCACATCCCCTGTCAGCATAGCAGCGGTGCGACCATACCACTCATGTTTAAAACAAGTGTTGAATGCAAGTCCCCCCTACTTCAGCTGCCCCCTCTACTCTAGCTGCATGCTCCGACCTGCCAACAACCCAAGGAGAGAAGACAGATTCCAATGTAAATGAATATGCAGCGCGGTGCAGCGCGGTGAAGCACATGTATTGGGTGCAGCGCGGTGTAGCGCGGTGAAGTGCGACGAACGAAAACGGCTCACCAGTTCCGAATGCATGCGCGGTCTGAAGTGGCCATGTGCGGTGCAAGGCGCAAGCGACAGGACCGAATGCGGTTACACATGCGTTGGCCTGCCTCAGAGAGGAGGTGACGTGGCAGGAAGTCAGAGGGGAGGAGGTGACGTGGCAGGGCGTCAGAGGGGAGGTGACGTGGCAGGGCGTCAGAGGGGAGGTAACGTGGCAGGGCGTCAGAGGGGAGGTGATGACGTGGCTGAGCGACGGCGTGCACGGCCCGGAAGACGGCCCAGAGGGGAGGTGACGTGATGGGGGAGGTGACGTGGTGGGGGAGGTGACGTGGTGGGGAGGTGACGTGGTGGGGGAGGTGACGTGGTGGGGAGGTGACGTGGTCGGGGAGCGCGCCGCACGGGCGTCACTGTCTGAACGTGAGCAGGGGAGAGGGGAGGTGAGAAGAATCCGAGCCCGTCGCTCTGCGCCCATGCGCGTCGCTCTGCGCCCATGCGCGTCGCTCTGCGCCCATGCGCGTCGCACTGCGCCCATGCGGGCGTAGCACTGCGCCGATGCGCGTCGCACTGCGCCCATGCGCGTCGCACTGCGCCCATGTGCGTCGCACTGCGCCCATGCGCGTCGCTCTGCGCCCATGCGGGCGTAGCACTGCGCCCATGCGCGTCGCACTGCGCCCATGTGCGTCGCACTGCGCCCATGCGCGTCGCACTGCGCCTCGAACTGTTCTTCTATCGACAGCCGACCCAACGCCATCGCGGCGATGACGCGAAGAAGTAACCGGCGGTGGCGAAACTTAACCGCCACGATTCGAAGGAGAGCGACCATTATGCGGTGAAGCTTTTCATCTGATGCGTGTGATCACGGCCAGAAACTTTCCCAACAGCAAGAAGAAACGAGATGACGGGGGGGTTCATGAGAGACTTTCCCAATAACGCAATGTGAGCGGGGGCATCGTGAGTGGGAGCATCGTGAGTGGGAGAATTGTGAGTGAACAGCATCGTGAGCGGGGGCAATAAGGTAACGCGATGTGGTAGTGTGCTGTACTGTATGCTGTGCTGTGTGCTGACTATAACGGGTTTTCAAAAACCATTCGGGAGAGCAACAACAACACAGCCACACAAAGGCGACACGATATTGTTGTTCCCTGTGCAACAGCACAGAAGCAGCCGTTCAGTTGCGCGTCCGCTCGCGAGTAACATTTTCTACGTCCGATCGACGTAGGCGAAATCATGCGATTTTGTTTCAACGAATCACCGTCGTCGTAGTCGTCGCGCAGGCGCGGCGCGGCTCGACTGACTCCGATGGCCTTCAGCAGTGCGAACCGCCGCGACTACAACGGTCACATTCACAACCACGGTAGCGGCAGTCGCTGCGAGAGCGGCAGCAGCGGCGAGAACGAACAGTGGCGGAGAGCGCAGGTGCGCGGAATGCTGCGCGCGCCCATGGGTTACTTTTCTCACTAGTTGACTGTCGTCCCTTTGCTACAGGCGACTCTCTGCCTACTGCTGCCCTTCTCCATGAGCTCAGATCAGTGGCGGAACGAGCAGTGGCGGCGAGCGCATGTGCGCGGAATGCTGCGCGCGCCCATGGCGTCCGGAGCGAGCCGCGTGAGCCAGTTGGCGTCTCACAGGTTACATTTGGTGTTGTAACCGAGTTACATTGGTGTGGTGTCGTCATAAAGTTACCCTTCACATGGTTCCACCTACCATTTCATCCCCTTGCCTTCTGTTCCCGATCAGGCCCTCTGCCTGATGTACGGCCGAGATCTCGCGACGGCGGTTCGGGTGCTGGAGGACCAATTGCAGGCGAGCCCGCTGACAGCTGTCGACGAGACAGTGGTGCTCAACCTGTGCTCCATGTACAATCTGGCGGCGTCTGATACGCTCAGGCCAGCCACCTGCCAGCGTGGCAGCACCGGGTGTGGGGAGAGTGACGAGGAGAGGTGGGGCATGGTGTGCGCGCGCCACGTGGCGAGTGGGCGGCAGGTGAATGTGTTTGTGTACACCCACCCACTCATCCACCCCACGATGCACCCCAGCATCAGCATGCGACGGCAGTGCCCCATCCCCCAGGGACTCTCAGAGGGGGCGACCTTTTCTCTCCAAAACGCCCTGCTGCTGCCCGCCGCAACCGCCTCTGCTGTCAGGTAGCACCCGCCTCTGCTGTCAGGTAGCACCCGCCTCTGCTGTCAGGTAGCACCCGCCTCTGCTGTCAGGTAGCACCCGCCTCTGCTGTCAGGTAGCACCCGCCTCTGCTGTCAGGTAGCACCCGCCTCTGCTGTCAGGTAGCACCCGCCTCTGCTGTCAGGTAGCACCCGCCGCTCTTCCCCCCTTCCTGTGCATCAGAAGCTGTGCTGCTCTTGCCGTGTTAGCCTCTCTCACTCCGTAGCACCTTGGCCTGCTGTACACTACAATCTCTCTGCTGCCATGCGGTTCCACAATGTGGAATGGAAGCGACATGTCGCTGCGGTAGCTAATCTCTCTCTCTCTCCGCCCTCCACGGCCCAGCTCAGGTGACCTTGCCATCTGCCGCGGGCCTGCTGGGCTGCAAGCACAAGGGAATGCATCGAATGACGCAGCACATGACAGCAGGGGCGGTGAGGGCGGGCAGTCAGGCCAAGAGGTGGTGCGAGTGCGGATGGTTGCTTGCTCCCACACGCTGCTGCTCTCCCCTGCCCCTCCTCCCCCGGCCCCTCCTGCTGATGCTATTGCTTCTGCGACTGCTACTCCCCCTCCTCCTCCTCCTCCTCCTCCTCCTCCTCCTCCTCCTCCTCCTCCTCCTCCTCCTCCTCCTCCTCCTCCTCCTCCTCCTGGTTTCAACCATGTTCCGCCCAGGCTCCCCCCACAGCATTCTGCCACAAGTGCAACCATGCCTGCTGCCGTGCCTGCTCCCGTGCCTGCTCCCATGCCTGCTGCTGCAGCAGCGACAGAGGGTCGAGTGAGAGGGGGTGGTGTCGGAAGGAGTTCTGATTGGGATAGAGCGGAGGGGGTGCAGGAGAGATGGCGCGGTGACATGGGCGGTAGAGGAGGGACGAGGGTGGAGGAGAGATGGTGCAGTGGCATGGGAGGAGGGGTGGCAGGAGGAGGTGTGGGTGGAGGAGGGGTGGCAGGAGGAGCGGGTGGAGAGGGAGTGCGCACTCGATGCTGGGTGAGAGCGGGGTGGCAGTTGGGGAGTTGGTTCATTGGAGAGTGGGTGATGGTGCTGCTGTATGGAGCATGCGTGTGGTGTTTGAGTGTGTGGCGTTAGAAAGTTTGGTGTTTGAGTGTGTGGTGTGGTGTGTGTGATGATAGCCCAGTGTGGAGTGGAGTGCGGTGCTTCATGGGTTACTCACATGTCTGAAAGTGTTGTTCCCTTAGCCTTGCCAGGGCAGATGCGCTGCGTTCATAAGCAGCCATCCCATGCGTCCTATTTCCCCCCCTGTCCTCCTCCCCTCTCCCTAGTTAGTAGCAGTGCCGTCCGTGTGCCTGCTCCCTGTGTGCCCCTCTGCCTGCTGAGCCTTTTCCACCTCCCCATTTCTTCCCCCGTCCCCAATCACTTTCCCCTTCGTGTTCATTCCCCCCCCCCCCCCCCCCCCCCCCCAGCTAGCAGCAGTGCACTACGTGCGCCTGCTGCCTGTGTGCCCGCCTGCCCTGCCGCTGTCAGCACATGTGTGTGAGGGAGGGGAGGCCTTGCTTCGCCCCACCCATGGGCTTGGGCGGCAGCAGGCAGGGGGGCAGCAGGGAGAAATGGAAGAAAATGCTTGTGCGAGAGGGTGGAGGGCGGCAGGGGATAGAATGGATGGGCATGCATCAAGGGATGGCGATGGTAGGGAGGGTTCTGGTGTGCTGCATGAAAGGGAGGAGGAGGAAGAAGCGGTTAGTGGTGGGAGGGAGGAGGCGGAAGCGTGTCCGATGGAGGAAGAGGAGAGCGGAGGGAACAAGGGTGAGGAAGAAACGGGAGGAGGAGAGAGAGAGGCAGAAGGGATTGCAGAGGAGGAGGAAACTGGAAAAGAGTGTGCAGAGAAGCATGTGGGTGGGCGGAAGGAGTGGTGGCAGGAGGTGCTAGAAGCGTTTAGGGAGGAGGAGCGTGAGGTGGAGAGGAGCGCAGTGGAGGGGTGCTGGACGGTGGGGCGTGGAGGCGGGGAGATGAGATGTGATGACCAAAGGGGAGAGTGTGAGCGAGTGAATGGTGTGAGCATGGAAGGGAGTGGTTGGAGTGATGAGGATTTGGAAGAGAGTGAGAGAGAAGGGGACGGGAGGGCAGAGCACAGTGAATTGAGAAGTGCAACGAGGAGGGAAGGGGGAGCGAGTGGAAATGAGACAGGTGTAAACAAGGCGAGTGGAGACATGGCGAGTGGTGACGAGTGGATGGAAGGTGATGATGATGGGGGCACAGAGGCATGGAGGGAGGGGAGTGGATGGGATGATGAGGATGAGTGCGTGCGAGAGAGGCAGGAAGGGCAGGAGGGGCAGGAGGGGCAGGAGGGGCGTGCACGAGAGGAGAGTGAGGCGGAGAGGGAGGAGGAGAGTGAGAAGGAGAGGGAGGAGAGTGAGGAGGAGAGGGAGGAGGAGAGGGAGGAGGAGAGTGAGGAGGAGAGGGAGGAGGAGAGGGAGGAGGAGAGGGAGGAGGAGAGTGAGGAGGAGAGGGAGGAGGAGAGTGAGGAGGAGAGGGACGAGGAGTGGAAGGAGGAGAGGGACGAGGAGAGTGAGGAGGAGAGTGAGGAGGAGAGGGAGGAGGAGAGTGAGGAGGAGAGGGACGAGGAGTGGAAGGAGGAGAGGGACGAGGAGAGTGAGGAGGAGAGTGAGGAGGAGAGTGAGGAGAGTGAGGAGGAGAGTGAGGAGGAGAGGAACGAGGAGAGGAACGAGCAGAGGAACGAGAAGAGGAACGAGGAGAGGACCGAGGAGAGGGACGACAGCGGAAGGGAGGGCAGCAGGCAGAGGCAGCGCAGGGTGTGTGGGGCGTGTGGGTGCGACACGGAGAGGCACGGCGTGCTGGTGGCTCGGCTGCTCTGCTCCCTCGGTAACTAACCCTCGTGCCGCCGCCCCACACCCTTCCTCCTCCGCCCCACGCCCCTCTCCTTCACCCTCCCCATGCCCCCTCTTCCTCCGCTCGCCGTCTCGCCCTCATCCTTGTGCATTTCAGCACCGCGCTCTTGCCAATTTTCATCTTTCACTTCTCCCCCGTCGTAATTTCACTCTCCCCTCATAGCCTTTTCACACTGCCCCATCGTCTTTTTCACTCTGCCCCATCGTCTTTTCCCCCTCCTTCCTTCCCCTCCCCCTTTCCCCTCCCCCATTCCCCTCCCCGCTCCCCCTTTCCCCTCACCCTTTCCCCTCCTTTCCCGTCAACCTTTTCCCTCCCCCGCTCCCCATTCCCCCTCCCTCCCCTGCAGACAACGGCAACCGCACCTTCCGAGCAGCTGCCAGTGGCTCCGAAGCGGCGCTTCTCCTCTTCGCCGCCTGTCTGCCGCCCCTCCTGTGCTCCTGCCACCCATGCCGGACGGCACGGCTTGGCGCATCTGCAAATTCGGCATGGCAGGCAACAGAGGGATGGGCGCGAAATGCAAGGGGAGGGGGCGTGAGGGAGGCGGACGGGAGGGAGGCGGAGAGGAGGGAGGCGGAAGGGAGGGCGGTGGTGGGGTGGGGAGACGTGCAGCTTTTGAGTCGACTGGAAGGCCAGCAGGGTGTCAAAGCAGGGGAGATGTGGAAGGCGGAGTGGAAGGAGGTGCAGCGGCGGGTGCGGAGACTGGTATGTGAGCGGGGGGTGGTTGAGGTCGGGGTGGGTAGCATGGGATGGGGCGAGGAGGGGAGGAGGACAGGGGGATGGAAGGAGGGGAGTGGTGCGAGGAAGAGGGGTGCTTCTGATGTGGAGAGTGGGTGTGGTCAGGATGTAAGGCAGGAGAAAACGGAGGAGGAGAAGGAGATGGAGGCAGCAGAGAGGGGGTTAACTGGGGCAGGTGCTTCTCGGAATGTGCAGGTGGCATGTGGAGTGATGGGCGTGAGTGAGGCAGTGCCGTCAGCTGCACAGGCGCACGTACAAGATGCGGCAAACGTGTGGACAAGCAGAGCAGAGGGGGCAAGCAGGGCAGGGGGGCCACATGCATGCTTACTGCCAAACTCTTTGCTGGGTGCTGCTGCAACAGTGGAGGGGCGGGAAGTGGATGGGAGGGAGGAGGAGGGTAGGGAGGAGGAGGGTAGGGAGGAGGAGCGAAAGGAGGAGGAGGGGAGGGCGGAGGCAAGGGAGGTGCAAATAGGGGAACGCCCTCTGCTGGCGCTGCTGATGGCCATGGCTGTGCGACAACGTCCCCAGGTACCGTGGCATGAAATGGCAGGGCGGGGGATGGCAGGGTTGGGGGATGGCAGTGTGGGGAATGGCAGGGTGGGGGATGGGTGGGTGGGAGACGGTAGGCCGGGTGATAAGAGGGTGGGCAATGGAAGGGCTTGAAATCAAGGGCGCCTCTGCAGCGTGTGGGAGGCCTCCAGGTGGCAACCTTGTTAATATCATTCATGCAATCCGCCATCCATCTCCCAGGATGGCAAATAAATAACCTCTCTGCATCTGTGCTTCATCAAGTGTGTCCCTAGATGACAAATAAGCTCCCCTGTGCTTCGCTCTCTCTGTGCTTCGCTCTCCCTGTGCTTCGCTCTCCCTGTGCTTCGCTCTCCCTGTGCTTCTCTCTCCCTGTGCTTCGCTCTCCTTGTGCTTCGCTCTCCCTGTGCTTCGCTCTCCCTGTGCTTCAATCTCCCTGTGCTTCGCTCTCCCTGTGCTTCACTCCCGCTGTGCTGTCCTCCCTCAGATGGTTCACCTCCTACCAGCCACTGACTCCTCGCCCTGTGCACCACAAAACGGGCTGCAGTGGACAGTTGTGCAAGTCTCTGCAGTTGACCCCTTGATAGAAGCGTATAGGTCCCTACAGGCACTGATGCCACTTGCTCCTACAAGTGCACGGACAGATGCACTAATGGATGCGCCAATGGAAGTTTGAAGATATCAAATCTGCCCTGTTACAGAAGATAGAAACAATGCGTGCGTTAAAACAAGTCTGCACTGGCAAACTAGGTACCTACCGTCATCGCCCGGATATAAGACATATATGTCTTATCTCATACACTAAAAAAAATGCTTGGGTTATCTTGTATTTGGGGAGGTTTTGGGTGTCTTATAAGTCTTATAAATGGAAACCTTTTTAAACTACTTAGAAATATTTTCACGCATCTTGAAAAGAGTTTCTCATTAAGAGTGTCGATGTTGCGAAGTTGCCACTTCGGCAACCATTGTTCGGAACGCCACGTCATCCCGAATACTTGCAGAGTCAAATTTGGTAGTACGGTATGTGACTCAGCACGTGGCAGAATTCGCGTGTCGCAAGGGTAAAAATGTACGCGGTATTTCAATTTTCACTATAATACATTGCAGTTTCGATTATAAGACACATATGTCTTATCTCGTACACACAAATAGGTGTCGTATAAAAAGGCTAGCCTGTTTATAAGAGACACCCGTATAATAGACAACCCCTGTCTACTATTCAACACTGTCTTATATCCGGGCGATGACGGTAAATCTCCTGTAAGCCCCTGAGCTTGACAACTGGTTGGGAAATGCTTTTTTGAACGAGCACATGATTCTTTCAATGGGGAAAGTTGATTATTTTCAAACTACCGTTCGGCAGCATGGTATAGGCGTTCACAGTCCTTGCTCTAACACACCAAACAACCTCAGTCCTCACCCTCAAATCATCCTCCCAAACATCACTTCCGCCTCCACTTCCCCTCATCCCTCCTCCCACCCAGGGCTGATTTTATCAGGGTAATTACCCTGATTTCAGGGTGATTTCAGACTTGTCACATTCTGGTCCCTGTAATTTCAGGTTTAACGACTTCTGAACACTGATCTTGTCAGAGTAGTACTTTAGCGAACCCTGGAATTTTGTATACACTCACAGAGTAGTGTTCTTAAGGACCCTGTCCATACAGAGTATGCGTCTTGTTGACCCTGAATGCAACGTTATCGGGACGAACCTTCCAGGAATCTTCGTCCCGATAACCCCCGTGTGCGTAATAATGATTAGGCTTGCACCCATCTCAGGACTCCATGCGCGCGCGCTATCCAGGTTATCGCAGTACACTAAGTTTCTGTTAGAATGACTCAACATTCGGTTTCTGATTTTTGTTAGCTGTAAACAAATCACGATCTGGCGAATCGCAAGGTGATTCGGCAGGAGATAAAAAAAAACCATCCGTAGTAAAACATTGTATTGCCATGTGATGTGACTGATAGTTTTTAGTCATCAGCTGTTTTTTGCTAACTGTGAAACTAAACGACACACTAATATTGAAAAACGTCCACCCCCACCAAAACCAGGCCGAGTCTCGGTCTCGACACCCCTCCCATTAGCAGTCCGTCCCCTCATTTCCTCCCCCCCTTTTCCCCCTTTTGTGCGGACGACCCGCGGTCATGAAATAGTCTCCACCCACCCCACTCACTTGCTCCCTCCCCCTTTGCACACCCCTCGCTCTCGCCCCTGCGCCCCTAGGAGATTCTCGGCTGCCACATGCACTCCCTCCAGCCAATCCGCCAATCCAGCCCAATCCAGCTAGAATTCTCGCGTCAAACACGTTCCTGTTTTTTCGCATAACTAGAAAGAAGAAAAAAATCAACCCTGATTTCAATTTGCCAACCCTGACAGCCCAGACTTACGATTTCGTGAACCCTGAACATCGCAAGAAGGCTCAGGCTAGGCGTTTTGCGGAAAATGTGCCTTCAGGGTAAATCTTTTTTTGGGGGAGCGAAAACAGGGTACCCACATTTGAATCGTCAGCCCTGCTCCCACCCCTCCCGTCCACCCTCCACTCCTCCTCCTTGCCCCTCTTCACCCTCTTTGCCCTCCTCGCCTTCCTTGCCATCACCGTGCGGGCTTCTGAGCGGACAGCATGATGTACTGGGCGCGGATGTCGGAAGTGTAATTTTCCATCCCTGCCAGCCCCATCAGCTCCTCCAGTTCCTTCCCCCTCTCCTCGCCCTCCCTGCTCTCCACACCATCACCGCGAGGCCTTCTGAGCAGAGAGCATCACCATTATCTTGCCCATGTGGTTCGGTCACCATGGTTATCTTGCCCATGTGGTTCGGTCACCATGGTTAGAGCGTGTTCCTACGGCCTCATATCAGGCAACCTCGTATCAGATTCGCGTCGAACCGCACTAAAACGCACCAACCGCAATCGAACACATTGCAACGTATTTCACCACGTGAAGCTGATACGAGATGTGTCTGATACGAGGTGTAGGAACACGCTTTTATCCCGCCCATGCGGTTCGGTCACCATGGTTATCCTGCCCGTGCGGTTCGGTCACCATGGTTATCCTGCCCATGCGGTTCGGTCACCATGGTTATCCTGCCCATGCGGTTCGGTCACCATGGTTATCCTGCCCATGCAGTTCAGTCACCATGGTTATCCTGCCCATGTGATGAAGGCGGGGTCGATCGCCATGGGGCCAGACGGGTCGAGTGGGGGATGTGTGCATACCGCATGGGTGCTGTGTGCCCTCCTGTCCTGCCAAACCTTTGTGGTGACAAAGCCTGCACTCGCTCGTGACAAAGCCTGCACTCGCTCGTGACAAAGCCTGCATTCGCTCGTGACTGGCGACAACCTCTGCTGTAGCCAGTCACCAGCCCTGGTCACCATTCCTCCCTCTCCTTCTCCACCCCCATTTCCCGTCTCCAATCTCTGGTGGTCTTGTCAAGCCTTTTCTCCGTGCTTCAGTCTCTACGTCTTCGAGCGCTGGTTTTAGTTCTGCCTTGATTCGGACATCATCCCATTCCCCCATTCTGGCATCACCGCTTTCCCCCATTTCCCCATTCCAACATGCTGGCATCACCACTTTCCCCCATTCCCCCGTTCCCCCATTCCCCCATTCTAGCATCACCGCTTTCCCTCCCCCATGGTGGCATCACCGCTTTTCCCCATTCCCCCATTCCCGCATTCTGGCATGACCACTTTACCCCATTCCCCCATTCCCCCATGCTGGCATCACCGACTTCCCCCATTCCTCCATTTCCCCATGCTGCCATCACCGCTTCCCACATTCCCCCATTCCCCCATGCTGGCATCACCGCTTTTCCCCATTTTGGCATCACCGACGTATAACAAGATTGATCGTGTTAACAAGGACAACATACAAGCAATGACGATTGCAGACCAAGATTCTACCTATTCTACCAGCTCTGCCTTCCTCTGGTGCCTGTCCCATCCTTCCCTAGCTAGCCGCTTGTAGCTATCGTTACCTACGAGCAGGCTTGCATCCAAGCTGCTTCTTGCCACCTTGCAACCCCTCTAGCTACTTTGCCTCCAGCTTGCACTGTTCAGTTCCAGCTGGCTCCTTGGCACAATCCTGCACAAATGGGAAAACAAACATGCATGCACACGAACACGCTTCCAAGTACCAGTGTAACACCTTCTCTCACATTGCCGCTGCCTTGCACTGTAACTCCCTTCCGCTGCCCGCCCATGCTTACGTAAGTACCGCCACTACCCCTTTACATGCAACTCCGTCACCCTTCGCTTCGGCAGGCGCCAATCTTCCCTTTACTTCTTACCTCCTCAAAACCGTCGCTTGACCCTTCGAAATCCATCCTCCTTGCTCATCAGGTTCGCTATGTACAGTATGTACAATATGCACATTCCCTCCACTACACTCTTCTCACTATACACATTCACATAAATGTGACAATAATGGTATTGGTAATGGTAGTGGTAATGGTGATGGTAATGGTAATGGTAATGGTAATAGTAATGGCACTGGTAATGGTAATGGTAATGTTAATTGTAATTGTAATAGTAATGGTAATGGTAATGGTAATCATAGTGATAATGGTAATGGGAATTGTAATGATACTGGTGATGGTAATGGTAGTGGTAATGGCGTAATGGTAATGGTTATGGTAATGGTAACGGTAGTGATAATGGTAATGATAATGGTAGTGATAATGGTAATGATAATGGTAATAGTAATGGTAATGGAAGTGGTAGTGGTAATGGTTGTGTTAATGGTGATTATAGTGGAAATGGTAGTGATAATGGTAATGGTAATGGTAATGGTAATGTTAATGTTAATGGTAATGGTAGTGGTAATGGCAGTGGTAAAGGTAATGGTAATGGTAATGGTAATGGAAATGTCAATGGTAATAGTAGTGGTAGTGGAATGCTAACGGTAGTGGTAATGGTAGTGGTAGTGGTAATGGTATTGGTTGTGGTAGTGGTAATCGTAATGGTAATGATAATGGTAATGGTAGTGGTAATGGTAATGGTAATTATAACGGTAGTGGTAATGGTAATAGTAATGGTAATAGAAATGTCAATGGTAATAGTAGTGGTAGTGGAATAGAAATGGTACTGGTAATGGTAGTGGTAATGGTAATGGTATTGGTTGTGGTAATGGTAATGGTAATGGTAATGGTAATGGTAGTGGTAATGGTAATGGTAACGATAATGGTAATGGTAATAGTAGTGGTAATGGTAATGGTAACGATAATGGTAATGGTAGTGGTAGAGGTAATGGTAATGGTAATGATAATGGTAATGGTAATGGTAATGGTAATGGTAATGATAATGGTAATGGCAGTGGTAGTGGTAAGGGTAATGATAATGGTAATGGTAATGATAATAGTTGAGGTAATGGTAATGGTAATGGTAATAGTAATGGTGGTGGTAATGGTAATGGTAAAGGTAATAGTAATGGTGGTGGTAATGGTAATGGTAATGGTAATGGTAATGGTAATGGTAATGGCAATGGTAATGGTAATGGAAATGGTAATGGAAATAG